CTGGGCAGAGGCTGTGCCTCCTAGCCTATCAGAATGGCCATCCTGCAGGCTGCAACCCTTTATGAGAAATAAAGCTGCTCTTTCTAGATTTATAAACCTCATCATTTTTCAGTTCACATAATTTTGAGTTTTGGACTGCTAGTTTTGGGCTGTTTGTTTCTTTTGAACCAGGAGGTCACAGTTTCAACTACATTGCAGGGTAGTGCACTAGCCCTCCTTTAAACAGAAGGACTTGGATATTCCATTTAGCTGGAAATAAGAGAAACGTGTGTGGCTCCTCTACTTGATGGGACATATTTACTAACGAAAACAATTAGAAATGCAAGACCAAAAGGATCAGTGTCTAGGGCAGACTTTTTAAAACTCATGCCTCTGTTGGAAATACTTGAGAGGGGTAAATCTTACATTCACTCAACAAAACTTAGTAAGTACTTACTGCAGTCCATACCATGTGCAGTTCTAAGCAGTGAGAGGAAAGTGATGACAAGACAGCAGAGGTTCCTGCCCCGGCAGAGCTTATATTCTTGTGATTAGAGAAAGACACCATAAGAAAATTAATCAGATAATTTCAGATAGAGATCAATGTTGTGAGATACCTAGTAATAGTTAGAATACCCTGCTGCTTTACAAAGGGTTAAGGATTACCTGCTGCTTTACCAAACCCTTGTTGAGAAAGTATGTATTCAGTCAATATTTCTGACAATTATGTTGTGACCCAATGCCCTCCACCAAAAATCAGAGAGACGTAGATTAGAAGGAAGGAACTATGGCTGAGCACAGTGGCTCACGTCTATAATCCCAGCACTTCGGGAGGCCGAGGCGAGTGGTTGGTTCACTTGAGGTCAGGAGTTCGAGACCGGCCTGGCCAACATGGTGAAACCCTGTCTCTACTAAAAATACAAAAATTAGCTGGGCATGGTGGCACACACCTGTAATCGCAACTACTCTGGAGGCTGAGGCAGGAGAATCACTTGAACTCAGGGTTTGGAGGTTGCTTGCAGTGAGCCGAGATCACACCACTGCACTGCAGCCTGGGCGACAAAGCAAGGGTCTGTCTTAAAACAAAAAAAAAGAAGGAACTGTGTACTATGTTGTGGTCAATCCTTTGGTAGTGCTTGTTATATTATATATTGAGAAGTAAAATTCTAAAACCTTGGTAAAGCAAGGTTAAGGAAGGCCTCAGCGAGGAGGTGATGTTTGAGCCAAATCTCAAATGATGTGAAGAAACTTTTGTGAAAAAATTTGTGAATCTTGAAGACTAAAAATCTGTGAGGGAAGTGAATCTTGAAGAGTGCTGTCCTGTTTTGAGAAGTGAGGAAATCAAAGGAGGCAGAAGCGCTCTGGAATTAGGCGAAGGCTTCTGGCCACGTTGGCAACTCGTTGCTTGTGGCCTGAGGAATCTGCTTTCCTCATGCATAAAATGACAAAGTTTGGACCACCTCCCTCCAAAGTGTCTTTTGTCTCTTGTATTTTGAATGTATTTGATATTTATTGACATTTTTCTTTATTTTTATAGATTTAGGAGGGTACAAGTGGAGTTTTGTTACATGGGTATATTGTGTAGTTGTGAAGTCTAGAGTAACCACCTGATTTATTGGCATTTAATGGAGGATTATTAGTTGGAAAAATGCATTATTTTTGTAACCAAATATATGTCAAAAGGCAAAATTTACTAAGGGATACTAATTTTTAAAATGAGATTTATATGAGTTCATAATCTGGTATATTTGTCTAAAAACAGTGGAAACTGTACTGCTTAATTCAGTGTGCTAATATAGTTTTAATAATGAAAGGACATCTTAACTCACCACTAACTTTTCAACAATAATGAGAAATAAGCTATAAGTGATGTCAACTTCTGTGATGATTTCCATGAAATTGCCCTAACTTAGACAACTCGTTTAGGCTTCACAGATGCAAACTGTGAGAGATCTTCCTTCTCTTTCATTCCTAGTGATTTACGTGTCAGGTACATTGTTGTGTTTTCTATTAAAAAAAAAAATAAAATAAAATATATTTGGAAGCCAAAGTCTATTTAACCTGGATAGATACAGCTTTCAGGTTGTAAAGGAAATGCTAAAAATCTTATTGTGATAGTATATTGCTTTCTCGGAAGGGTTGATAATTGTTACTTAGTTTAGTTTTGATTTATATTTAGTTTTGCTTAAAGCAGGAATTTGAAAAGCTTTATAAAACAGACATATACTTTGATTTTTATCAATTAATGAAATTACATAGTTGCAGTTTCTTGAATTTATTACATAGTCAATAAATACTTACTAAACTAAACATCTCTTGTGTTGCAAGTGATAGGGATGCAGTTACCACTCACAGTCCAGCGGGTATACGTAGTGACTGTGTTAGCTCAGAGAAGAATATCAGAAGAAATGATGGAGCCAGCAGTTCCTAAAATGAAGTTTGCATTCTGTCAGCAAAAGGTTAGCCAGATGGGTTTGCCATTTTAAAGAGCTTTGGAATAGCTTTATTACTTGATATCCTTAACATGAAGAGATGCATGGTCTTTTTGTAAATGCTGATTGTTTTAAAAGTTGAGAAGAAAACCTTTGCAAAACTCAAAAATCTCCTTTGAAATAATTTTACTCAGGGCATTGGCCTCTGCCTGGTTTAGGAATCTTTCTTGCCAGAGATTCAATCTTGAAAGTAAATTGGAAGTAGGAAGGGGAGGATGAGAGAACTCAAATCATCGAGCATGTGTTGCAGAAGCTAGAGCTATGGAAAATTTCTACCTGAGGTGCTCTCATTGTGTTTTGTGGAATTGGCAGAAGCTGTATAGTCAGTCACTCATTCCCTGCCTATTGTTTCAGTAATGCAAGCCTAAAAGGAAAATTTTAAGTAAATGTTTGATGAAAGATGTAATAACTTTGGCCTTAAGTGCCTGAGGGAATTACTAGATGATTTTAATTAGGGGTGTGGTTGACTTTCATTTTCAAAATTTCACTCTGACCTTGGTATAAATTAGGGAATGGGCAAGAATGGCAGCAGAAACAACAGTGGAGTTGTATGAATAATTTAGGGAAAAGGAAATGAAGGCTGAAATTAAGATGAAGGGGTAGATTTGAAAATCTTTTCTATATAGACTGAACAAATGTCTAGAAATATTTTGCTGTTACTGAGGTGTTTATTTGCTTCTATTTAGAAAAGACAGTTTGATTAGAAAGCATAGTATATAGATTGACAGAAGTAACTTAAAAAGCCCACTCTGCCCTGTTTTCAGAGAATTGATTTCTGAAATGTCTAGATAAATCATTTAAATCTTTTTAGAACATAGCTTTGGTTCTGAGACATGAAATCTCTCAAACAATGAAAATGTCATTTTGTAACAGGATTTGACATTAACAGATAAAAGATGTATTAAAGTGTTTCGTTTATAGAATTTGATAACCTTGATAACATTTTATATGTTACAAAATATAAGACTTAGTATTTCTCAGGGGTACTGAAAGTCTGTTGATTGTGCTAAAATTGCAGCAGATTAATTGTCTCACTTTATTTTATTTTAAATTAGTAACTTTGTCTTGTCAATGTGTTGACTCTTGCAAAATTGGGAAAGCTTTTCCATTTTTATTAGAAATTATTAAAAATGACTTCATATATGGTACTTCATATTTTTCACAAATACAGCTAGTGCTCGACTTACGACCACGATTGCTTCCGACAGACTGGTCGTAACACGATTTGGTTGTAAGCTGAGTAGGCTATCTGTACAGTTACGATTTGGCCGTAAGTTGAGTAAGCTATATGTACAGTTGAAATGGTGCACGCGGAGATGGTAGTGCTGCCGGAAGCTGGTCCGCACTGTCATACGCCCAGCTGGGCAACGTTTGCGCTGCCAGATGCAGAGCAGTCATGGCTAGCAATTGTGGTCGTAAAGTTGAATGGTCGTAAGTTGCATAGGTTGTAAGTCAATCAATACCTGTAAAAGATATTTTTAGGTGATAGTTTTATTTTTATTTGCATACTATGAAAATTAGATTTGATGAATTAAATGTCTGTTTTCCATTTTTAGGAAATTTTAATTAATGTATGAAAAAAATTAGAGAGGATACACTGCATAAACCCAAAGGATATCTTTCAGTTTGTTGCTTCTCTTAAAGTTCTATTTTGTGAATTGTTAAATGATTGATTGGTAGAATATGAGAATTATTTTGATCATAATTGAATCTTGAAGAGATTTATCTTTTATTTTTGTTTTGATGTTTTATTGTTTACCTCAGGCTATCTGATTATATTGAATGAATGTCTTTAATTTCCTTGTGTCAGATTCTAAAAAAGGGCATTCTCTTAAGAACAGAGAAGAAAATAGAGATACATAGGTATATAATTAATACTGTTGTAATAAAATATATCAGAAATTCACATTTTCATGATATACTGTCAAGTTGGTACACAGTATTGGCTCTGACTTCTTTTTTCCTAGATCAATTAGAGGTCAGATTTTAATATTAAATACTTTGGAGTTGCTTCTGCATACTTAAAAAATATTCTTGGTTCCTTACAGTCATGTGGCTGATAGAATGAAGTATATACGCTTCTGTGTGTAACCAGTTACAAAGCGGCTTAGCTATGAATCAGAATTTCTCTTTTCAATTTCTTCATCATCTTAGGCCTTAGTGTTATAAGTTTGGTTGTCACACATTTTTACATTTAGAAGTTTTTCCATTTTTATTTACAAAGATAATCTCATGAATGAATGAATGCTTTTTCATGAACTCAGGGCACTCCCTTTCACTCTCTGTTTTGCTTACTATTACTTTTAACCTTAGTGACATACTCTGTGTCCTTAGAACCATGTAGCCAGCTTTGATCACATAATGTACCCACTTTTTATATAATTTTTTGATTTGAAAAAATAGAAATATTTTCTTATATTTTAAAATGTTGCCTCCCTATCTGCTCTTCAACCCATTTTACATTTAGAATCCAAATATGTTCAGTGTTCAGCCTTTGCTGTTTTTACTAACTTTCTTCCCTACTTTTAGTTAACAGCCAGGTCCTTGCCTGCTGTGCAGTCTGATGAAAGACTTCAGCCTCTGCTAAACCACCTCAGGTAATATAAAGGCACAGCCTTGTTATGCTTATTACATCCATATGCGTTAAAGTGAATAAAGTATATTAAAGTGGTTAAACCGCTTCAATTACTAAAAGTTTGCTTTTGTTTTTGCTTTTATTCCATTATTTAAATTGAAGTTCTTAATACCATGTACTTGTTACCCTTGACTTTCGGGCACTGTAGAAAGCTCTTTTAATTCAACAACAGTTTGTAGAACTACTTGATAAGTTTAAGTTAAATGAGTAGAGATGACTAATTTCATAGAAGGATCTCAAATGAATGAGATATTTATGTAAATACAAAGTTAAGGCGTATGTTTATTGAGGATTGATGAGATGGATGGAGTTCATTACTAAATACAAAAATAATATTATTTTAAAAATAGAACATACAGGAAAGGAAAAGGAAAAACCTATTATCACTACTCAGAAGTAATATTTATCCTATCTATGTTTTTTTAATTTTTTATTTTTTGAGATGGAATCTTGCTTTCTTGCCCAGGCTGGAGTGCAGTGGTGCAATATTGGCTCGCTGCAATCTCTGCCTCCCGAGCTCAAGCAATTCTCATGCCTCAGCTTCCCGAGTAGCTGGGATTTCGGGCATGCGTCACCTTGCCTGGCTAATTTTTGTATTTTTAGTAGAGATAGGATTTTACAATATTGGCTAGACTGGTCTTGAACTCCTGACCTTAGGTGATCCACCTAACCTCGGCCTCCCAAAGTGCTGGTATTACAGGTGTAACTACTGCACCCGGCCCTTTATTTTTCAACCAAGAGTTGAAATTGTAGTTTATATGACTATTTTTTCCATTTTTTAAACATTGTAATATTTTTCCCCTAGTATTAAAATCTTTCTAAAAACATTATTGTTAGTGACTACATTATATTTTCTTGTATGCCTGTACTATAGCATATTTATTTCCCTTTGGGAAGCTTTGGACCATTTCCAGTGTTTTTTTTTTTTTTTTTTTTTTTTTTGACTGTAAAATAATGCTGAATATTAACCTCTATCTGTGTTTTAGATCATTTTTTCAGAATTGGAATTACTTTGCCAAAGGGTGTGAACCATTTTAAAGATTTAAGTATATATGTATATTTCTTTTTCAAAATCTTATTCTACCTGTATGCTCATATTTGTATAAGACTGCCGTGTAGCTAAACTCTGAAGGAGATAGGGCAGCTAAAACAGTTAATGATAGGTTAGACATAGAGATATTATCGTGATCCTATGCATTTTATTATTAATAATTAATTATTCTTATTTTGAAGTGGGATTAACTACCTGTATTCTTTGCTCACTTATTGATAGCATCTCCCAATCTTATTTGCTCTTAGATATTTTAAAGGATGGTAACTCTTTGTTGTATTTGTTACAGACTTACTTTATAAAATTCTAAAATTGCGTTAGTCAACATACCTACATTTTCATGTTTTATGTAGTTAGGCACCAATGGTGTTTTCCTTTATGGTTTTGAAAAATTCTTTTTAAACATCTCTTTCAGAAGTATGGATAGATTTTACTTTGTTATCTTTTAGTTTTCTTTATTTTTTCTTTTTTTCTTTCTCCCCTCTCCCCTTTCCTCGCCTCTTCTTTCTCCTCTCTGATATCTATTTCTTCCCAGACAGCTACTTTTTAACCTTTGTGTAATTGTTTTGTTGGGTTAAGAAGAAGGGAGGGGGTCAAGACTTTCATCAGGGACTGAGTAGCATACATTTTTATGTATAACAACATTTATATATAGTTGTTAAATTCCCTAGAGCTCTATCTTTGTTAGTTAAGAATTCCAGAAATTATTTTTGAGTCTCTTGCTCAATGCCCACCTTCCGCATTCAACTCTGCTGGCAATTTTATTTCTTGAATATCTCTCTTGCTGTCATAGCCTCTCGTCTGTTTGCTTTGACCTTTCTAATATATTTCACATCATTGCCTTGTGTGTTTATATTATTTGTTGGCTTAAGACCCATCTCTGCCTCTCCAATTTCATTCTGGATGAAGCCTGAACTTCTTAGCCTGGCATAAGAGGTCATTCTGGAAGACGCCTGGCCTGTTTGTCTCTTTGGACCACTGTTTTAACACTGAGATCCTAACTTCACCAAATGCTGTGAAGTTCCTTTAATACAACCTGTTTTTTGCTCACTTACAAATGTTTTTCCTTCTGCCACTTCTATTTAGGTAAAGTTAAATATACGTAATATATATAATTTAAAACATTTTAAATGTATTTAATATAATTTTAAAATATTTTAAATGTATTAATATAAATATATATTTTAGAAAAATGTATTTAAAATATATTATAGATGTATATTAATACGCAAATAGGTTTATATTCTCCCCATGCCCTGCTTTTATAACAACTTTTGCTTGTCTTTTAAGACTCCTCTCAAGTGTTACCTCTTCTAATAAGTTTTCCCTGACCATTAATTAACTTCCCTAGTGTGAATTGGGAGTCTTTTATAGATATTTTTATAATATTGCATGCCCTCCTCTGTATTACAGAACCTGTGATATTGTTATTGTTTGTGTACTGTTTGATTTCTCCATTATAGTATATTTGAGAGCTTGCAAAGTGATGTTCATATTTATATTTTCAGCAGCTGAGACAGTATCTGGTGCATGATAGGTATTTATCATATGTTTTGTTGAATGAAAGAGTGAATGAATGCAAGTTATATGTTAGTGAAATTTTGGGTTTTTTTCTGCGTAAAGTATTTATAATTTATAAGTCATACTGTCAAAATTTTTCTTTTCTAGAAAACCACTGGTTCAAAAGGTAAAAACCTAAAGGGTTGAATCTTGCTTCTAGTTAATCTTGCAGTTGATTCTGAGAGATTAATGATGAATTCTCCTTCCTCCATCTCAGTATGGTAATTGCCAGCTAGAATTTAGATTAACTACTGACACATCTCTTTGAGTCCTTGAAAGTTGCACAAACTGTACATTTGTTTAGGGCTTTTATTCTCTGTGGAGTTCACTCATGACTGGTTGCTAGGCAACCAGGACTAGATGCTACATGTAATATCCGCCCACTGATGTTGCTTTTTTATTATTATTAAACCGAACGGTTTCTCATTTTGTTACCATGTCAGAGACATCTATATGTCGGGTGGCAGCTGATGTGCATACTTTGACACTTCCTGTTCTACAAAGTAACCTTGTGATATGCCTTTGAAGAATATTGAATGGTTGCTTTTGCTTGTCTAAATGTAATGTTTTTCTTTTATTTTCCTTTTGCTTAGTTCTAAATAGGAATTAATATTATTTGGTTTGAGAGATTCTAATAATATTTTTTAAGAAAAAAATTGCCGATTTGCATGAATTGTGTAATTTAAATGTTATCTAGAGGAGGATGGACATTATGAGGTTGATACTGAGATCATTATTAGGCCTAATTTTGTTTATTGCCTCTAATGATGAAACAGGAATGACGAGTAACATTTTAATTAAATTCTTCAATAAAACTGATTTGGGACATAATACAAATACCTGTAAAAATTGAAGTAGCAATACAGAGAAATTCTCAAATAATTTTACAGGATTTAGAGACTCAAAGAGAATTAGGGTAACACTTTGCCAATCTAATAATCTAGAATATTGCTTACCCATATATATTATTTTGAGAATGCAGAAGTGATGTGTCCAGACTTTTTTAGTTGAATCCAATTCTCAAGCACAGCACAACATCCTGCTTCAGCATCTTATGACAGTACAACTGTGTTTTTATTCATTAGTATCATCCATTCACTCATTAGTTACTTGGTGCCCATTATGTGCTTAGAATTTAAAAATAAAAAGGAGACAATCTCTGTTTTCAGGGAGTTAGGTTTGATCTGAGAGATAGGCACTGGAACAAGTTATAAAATTTGCAACATTTTCCTTCAGAATTAAATGCAAGGTACATAATTTTATTAATTGAACTGTCTCCCTTGTGGAATTATTTCCTTAAGTAATCGGGCCATCACTTAATTGTTTTGGTTTCTGTGCATTCTGGCACAGTAGTGGCTCTCAGTGGGAGCTCAGATTGGACTGAAATTTATTCTTATTTTTTGTTGTTTTATTATTTTTATCAGTCAGCTTTCTCAGGCTAAATGGACTGAACTGAACTAGAATCTCACTTGAGGGATAATGTTGTCATTAACTAAGAAGGACAATTAACAAAGGAAGACAAGGCAATTAGGGAATGAATATGATTGCTTAGATGGTAATTTCGGTAGTTTCAGACATTTTAAGCTAGAACTACCTGTGGGGACATATGTGGGGAATGTTTAGTAGGTAGCTGAATACAGACCTGCAGTTGAAGATTGAGGTTTACATCAGGGAGACATTTGCTAATCATCTCTGTGTAGGTCATGGTTAAAATAAAGGGAAGGGTTGTGATCACTCAGGAAGAGAGTATTAAGAGATAAGAAAAGGCTGAAGTGTTCTCAGTAGGACCCACCGAATATCAGTGTTTAAATAACTTGTGATGGGCAGTGCGGGATATGGGATATGAGAAACCAGTAGAAATACCAGAGAGGAGTCTGGAACAAAACAGTAACACAAAAAAGGATGGTGGTATCACGGGTGCTAAGGGAAAATTTTCAAGAAGAGTTGGTAACACTGTCAAATGCCCTAGGGAAGTCAGATCAGAACTGCCAGTGCCAGTTGGATTAGGCATCTGGGCACCCCTGGAGGCTTACCCACAACATTGTAATGACGTGGATACAGGTGCAAGTCTTGTGAGGATTCGAGGAATGAATAAGAAATGAGGCTGTGGAGATACAAGGAGTAGGCTATTCCTGGTTGAGCTTAATTCTGAGGATATGTAAGGAGAAAGGACTGCATCTGTGAGCTTCATGGTTGAAGAAAGTGTTTTATTTTTTTCCTTAAGATTGGTAAGACGAGCTTATCTACAGGTTAAGGCAGAAATGAGTACTGTGGGTGTAAGAGGGGATAATTGAATGGACAGTGTTTCAGAAAGGGTAGAAGGGAATTGGCCAGGAAATCAAACTGACTGA